ACATGTGGTCAAGTACTTGTGGTCTTGTAGACATGTAGCGCGATTAATGAGGTAATGAGGAAAAAATCCCGCGTCACAAATGTTGAGAAATATTTTGGGGATGGCAATGCAAATTTATTCATATGTGGTGAATTTATGTTTTGAACTCCTATTTAAAATATATTTTCTATTTTTTTAATCTTATTTAGGTTCCCCCCTGTGCGTGTGTGTGGGTGTGTGGAGGAGCCTTTCATGGAGTTCCTCTTCTTAATTTCAACTCTCTTTCCTTTTCATCTCAAAGGAAATGTATTTCTTTTTTCTTTTTCTTTCTTCTGCCAAAGGCAAATGACTCTAGTCCGGGGATGCCGATCCAAAACGACTCCTATTTAATGTTGCTGATTTGCTGGCCTTTACTTCCTCATGCATGAAAATGCTAGTTCCGGATTTTGGATTAAAGCAAGGGCATTTTGGGGTGCCGTGTAAAAAATTAGTCCTAGATAGGGGATTTTAAGTTTATAGTTTTATTTAGGTATATTGTGTATGTTTTAGTCCTATTTAAGTATATCTCCCTTGTATTCCAGGGACCTAACTTTCTTATCCTCTCAATTATTTCAAGCATGCTTATTAGCTCAACTAATTAAAAATAAATGAGGATGCATAGACTTATTGACATCTCTTTTGCCCTTTTGGACGTACATCAATTATTTTATTTATTAATCACTACAAACAAAATACTCCTCCTTCTTAAAACCTTCTTCTCGATTTGACCCGAAGTGGTTTTTAAGGGAATGTAAAAATTGGGTTGACTTTCCCAAAATGCCCCTAAATCCTTCTTTCCCCTCTTAACGCTGGATCCAGACTTGCCTCACTGGCCTTCTTTCACGGAGGCATGGTTCTAAAAAAGAATAAAAATGAATTAGGTTCTAAATTAAAACAAAATTTACAGAGGCATGAATCAACATTAGGTTCTAAAACAAAATAAAAAAATAAAATACTCTTCCGTCCCTGAGTGTTTGTCCACTTTCATTTTTGCACAACATCCAATGCACTTCTTTAATCTCTTTTATCTTGTAATTTGTATATTAAATAATTATAAAAATTACTCCGTATATATTAATAATCTATATGTTAAGGCGAATCAAACAAGATCACACATGACTATTTTTAGGCTTACACATTGAGAGAATTTGATGAGTCAAAGTGCTTAGATGAACAGTTCCAAAAGTCAAAAGTGGACAAACACTTAGGGACGGACCAAGTAGCAGCTATACAAATTTAAATAAAATGAATTATGAAATCGGTCCTTGCAAGTTGCAACTGAACGAAAAATCAGGAAAAAAACCATGTACAAAAAGGAAAAGGAAGAGACATGTACTAGAAGGCGGATTTGCTTCCTCTTCAAGTGCATTGAGCAATTAAGTGCCTTATTGCAGCAATAGCATCGCCCTTATGCTCTCGCAGTGTCCAATTGCTTCGTCTCCAACCTCAATTTTTTCTGCTCTCTTCTACTGCTTAATATCGCGGCCGTTGGGTTCTCAAACAAAAGATTAGATATATGTTTCGAGGAAGAGAAATGATAAGATCTAGATATAAAGATTGAGAGAAGGGGGGAGAGCCGAAGAGAGACGAAGAGGGTTAAGTTTAGATTTCGATAGGGAGGGAAGAGAGACAGAGATGGAGATATTGTGACGAAGGTGAGAGATGAAAGATGAAGATAATGTGTGGTAAGAGGGAAAGATGAGAAGCAGGTTAGGTTGAGAGAGTTGAGTGAGGGTTAAAATAGTCTATTCATGCTCTTTTTTAAGAAGTGGGAAGATAGTTTTAGGACGGAAAAAAAAGGAAGTAGGAAGATAGTTTTAGGACGGAGGGAGTAATTGCAAGAAAAAAAATCACCCACTTAAGCCTAAAATCAGATATTTTAGAGCATGTTCTTTTAGATTGTAATAAAAGAATTGGATGTTGAATGAAACTTGAAAAAGCGTGAAGTAACTAGAAAAAATTGAAAAACTTAGAAAAAATTTAAAAAAATAGAAAAAATTAGAAAAAACTAGAAACAATTGGAAGAAACTTCAAAAATTATTATTATTATTATTATTATTATTATTACTATTATTACTATTATTATTATTATTATTATTATTATTATTCTTATTATTATTACAACTGCTTCTGCTATGTTCATAACTATATTATAAATTATTTTTTTTCATTTCACTATTTTTACGATTCAAACTCATTATTTTTTTCTTTAACTTTTTGATATGAACAAGACAATTTTTTGTATATTAATCTACATGATAAAATAGAAAAACATCAATATGTTAAACTATATTTAAAAAATTAAGGATAAAATAGTGACATACAATATTTTATTAATATAACTTCATATGAGACTTTTGACCTTTCCTTGCATTACTTAAAATTTGCTCATTTTTCTAATTTTTATAAAAAAAATTGTAAGTCAAAATGGTTTAGAGAAAAAGACTTAAATAGGAGTAAAACATAAAAAATGTAAAAAAAAGTTCTATGTCTTTTTCCAAAAATAGGACTTCAATGAAAATAAAATGTCAATCATAAAAGAAAAAATAGGTTTGATTACATTATGTGACATGTCTGATATTTAAAACAAAATATTGTAATATATAAAGTATAATTACAAACATATTATTTATAATAAATACTGCATAAATAAATTGAGGTGCAATGTAACCAAAAAAACTTTTTAAAATTTAATATTTTTATATTTATGCTAACTTCATATTATAATTATTTTTTTGTAAAAGTAGTTTTTTGTATTTGAAAAATAACAATAATTTTTTGTATCTTTAAGGCATTAATTAAGATAACGTGATGATGATGATGATGACGATAATAATAATAATAATAAAATAGTAATAATAATAGCAATAATAATTTATAACAACAAGAATTTAAAATAGTTTTTTTAAAGTTTTTTAAGGTTTACTAATTTTTTGAAGTTTTTCCAATTTCTTCCAGTTTCATCCAGTTACTTCCAGTTTATTCCAATTTTTCCAGTTTTTTCCAGTTTCTTCTAGATTTTTTCAGTTTCTTCCAGTTTTTTCCAACATCCACTCTTTTTTCCAGCCCTAAAGAACAGGCTCTAAAAGCAACTCCAATCGGGAGTGTAAATTTGAGTATCTCTTTTTTTAGTAACTCTTAAAAAACATAGAAGATATGCCCTTTACTGTTCAAAAATGAGGTCTCCAGCGAATCTCTTAAAATATACACTGTAGTCCATTTTACGGTTTTACCATTCAAAGCTACCAAATACGTAGTATAAGGGGTAAATTTCACCAATGGTACCTGAACTTTAGCCGGCGGGTTGGAGCGTTTTCCGGCCAACACCGGCGAAATTGACGGCGGGCACCAACTCCAATGCGGTCGTGGAATCCGGGCGACCTCTAAGGACCCCTCAATTGCAAGATTTGATGACGATTCGCAAAACCCCCCAATTTTGGACCCAATTTCGATTTTACGGTTTTTTGGAGTAGAAAAATTCAGATTCGAGAAGTTACAGGCCAAATTAGACAAAATGGTTTGGATATTATTGATCCTCGTCTCAAGACGAAGAGAATGACATTGGTCCCGCCGGAATCGAAAAAAGTTCATTTTCCGGCGACTTTGACCGGCGGGCGGCGGCGGCGGGGCCTGGAAAAAAAGAAAAGAAGAAATGAGGTCAAATTGAAAAGGGAGAAAGACCAAAGTAGGACTAAAACATTGAAAATATACCAAAATAGGACTTCCATGTTTTTATTCTCGAAATAGGACTTACATTACCAAACATGGTCATATACATTACCAAAAAAGTATAGTAATTTGCACATGTACACTGCCACATTACCACAATGCAAAGTCACATTACCACAATGCAAAGTCCTATTCCGGGAAAAAAACATGAAAGTCCTATTTTGGTACTTTTCTCTATGTTTTAGTCCTATTTAGGATGATTTCTAAATTAAAAATTTTAAAATATATAAAATTTGAATTTGGCCCTAATGACCGGAAGTTAACCTAGAAACGGGCTAATGGCTCATTAGTGAAAGGATTGTGTAAGTTCAGGGATTTTTGTGAAAGGATTTGAAGTTCAGGTACCACTTCGAAATTCCAGCTAAAGTTCAGGTACCATTGGTGAAATTTACCCGTAGTATAAGAGTTACTGTAGCAAAATTGAAAAGCTTTTACCATTCTATTTGTTCTCTGTTCCATCTCCCCCACGAAGAATCCCCAAATCTGAAGAACACACAGATTTGGAAACCTTTTCAGTTTTCACCAACGTATGGAGCTGAGTCAACTAAAGCACCGCACAAGAGAAAACCACGGATCAAAAGATGATCTGAAGAACTTCTCCACTGTTCGTCTTCTTCGATCTAAACTTCTCCACTATTCGTCTTCTTCGATTTGGACTTCGCCCTGATGAATTTGTTTTTAGATTAAAAATTAGCATGAATTAATTACGGAGTATAAAAGTAATCCCTCCCTCCTAAAACTTTCTTCCCAGCACTATTCCAACTTCACGAGAATTTATATTTATTTATGTTTTTTCATGGCGTATATGATAAAATAAAATATTCTTGTCACCACTTGTTTTGTTGAATTTTTGATATAGTTTTTAAATATGTATGTTTTATTTTTTATTTCTATACCAATATTTAAATAAAATAGATTGAAAAAATTTGGGATTTTTCCTCGTTTTGCGCAACGAGAAGAAAGATATAGGACGGAGGGAGTATATGATTTAGAAGATATGGTTGGATTGAATGTAAAAAACTTGAAGTGTAAAACACTGTTGATAGTGTAAAAGAGGGTTTACAGTATCAAAATTTACACTATACCTTAGAGATGCTCTAAGTATATTACCCCATCCGTCCGGGAATGATGTTCCAAACATCTAGTTCAAGTACCTATAGGTTCTTCATTTACGTGTCTTATTTCTGCCAAAATATTGAGGGTCCGTTTGGTATACGAAATTAGTAGAATTGGAATTGAATTGAGATTCTATGTGATTCAATTCCATAGAATTGAATTCACATAATTTCAATTCACTTTTTGCACTATCAATTCCAAATCCACATAATATTTGTGCTACCAAACATGAAAAATGGAATTATAGTCATCAATTCCAATTCCACAATTTGAATTTCTTATAACGAGGCCTGCTCCGGGCTAGCCAAATATTTTGTAGAGGATGATGCTAGGGGTACACCAAATGTGTACCCCAAATGTCCCCCACCTCCTTCATAACCATTCATTTTTATTTCATTTTTATTTACTTATTTCATTTTCATTTTCCTTTTGTAGAACTGAAATTTGCACTAAATAGGACTAAAACATAATGACTTTCCTAATGTAAGACTTAAACTTTTTTATTCCATAAATAGGACTTAATAATGACCTAGTAGGAGGAATAATGTCCATAAAGATGGAAATTTGCTTGAATAATGACTACTTTATAATGACCAATAGGGGTGAGCAATTTAACCGAACCGACCGCTAAACCGAATCAATTTAACCGAACCGACCGAAATTTCGGTTTCGGTTTCGATTTCGGTTTTAATATATATAAAAATCGGTTATTTCGGGTTTTCGGTTTCGGTTTCGGTTCCGGGCAGTATTAACCGAACCCGACCGAAAAATCGAGCCCAATATATGTAATTATGTAAATTTTATATTTGTAAGCCCAGTCTATCAATTCAAGGAACAAAGCCCAGTCCAAAACCCAATTAATGACAGCCCATCACAAACATAGTGTTGCTGTCTAAGTATCTCTTTTGTGAGTCTAATCCCTAATCGCCTATTCCGCCTCCATCTACGGCGATACGACATCAGCCATCAAGGCTTTACGCCTTTAAGACGGAGATTAGACGACGATGCCCTTTGACGATGACGGCTATGGCATCTACTCCGATTTCTCCGCTGATACTCCGTCGCAGCAATATGCCGGTGAATTATCTGAAGACTACGTTGAATTGAGTGCGGAACCTTACAGATTTTGATCGCCGGCAGATTTCGATCCTCGCCTGTTCCGGTAGATTTGGATCCTCTCAGTCCATCGACAGCCCAGAACCTTACAGATTTGGATCGGATCCGTACCAAGGACATCTAGCTCCATTTAGATCCTCGCTATTCCGGTTTCCAACGGGAACGGAAAGCCTATGAGCTTGGGGAAAACTCCGATGGGATTTACGTCTCCGATGGGTCGGTTATTTGAAAACCGACTGAACCGAATCAGTTTATCTCGGTTCGGTTTTTTCGGTTATAAAAAAATTTCGGTTCGGTTCGGTCGGTTAATGTGAGTCATTTTTATTTTCGGTTATTTCGGTTTTGGGCCGAAACCGACCGAACCGAACTGATGCTCTCCCCTAATGACCAAAGGTCCTACATTAGGAAATAAAAATATATGATCATATATTGGTAAAATCATTATGTTTTAGTCATATTTAGGTAAATTAATCTTTGTAGAATGTCCTAGAACCTGATCTAAAAATTAGAAAAACCAAAGTCAACTGGCAAGTGGCAACACAGAGTTGCCGAGAAAGGGAGTTTGGAGGGAAAGTCTCGACCAAAGGGTTTGACTTCCTATCATCCGCGGTTTTGCCTTGGTCCAACATTTTTTTCCTTCTCTTCATATCTTCAGGCTGAATCCAATTCTCTAACCCCGTTAAATCTTCTCATCCATCTTCCAACTTCTTTGGATTTATCGATGTTTCTCTCTCTATTTTCGTAGCTTTTTCTTGAACTGCACTTTTCATTTCTTTTTTCTTTCTTGGGAAGAAATTCCAGATTTCTTCGTTTTCTCCGCCCCAAATTTGGATTTCTGTGCAATCTGAGGTTTACACTGAAAACCCCTCATTTGCTGGATCCCGCGGTTTCCTGGTGTTTCTTTAACAAGTATCAGATTTTTGTTAGTGTGATTGACTTTGAGGGGAACGATCGAAGAAGGCTGAAGCTTTAGCTGGAAAAGATTGACTTTGTGTTTTAGCTACAATTTGAACAAAGGTTAGGTTTTAAGGCACTTTGCATTAATGGGCAATTGTTGTTGTGCTGCGCCAAAAACTTTTGGTGAGAGCAGGGGAAAAAAGCCAAATAAATTTTCAGATTATAGTGGACATGGGGATGGTGGAAACAAATCCTATGTGTTGGAGAGCCGAACAGGGAATGATATCAAGGCAACCTATAAGCTGGGGCATGAACTTGGCCGTGGCGAATTTGGGGTTACCTATTTGTGCACGGATAAATCGACCGGGGAGCATTTAGCTTGCAAATCAATTTCAAAGAACAAGCTGAGGACTCAAGTAGATATTGATGACGTGAAGAGGGAGGTTGAGATCATGAAGCATTTGCCTAAGCATCCCAACATTGTGAGCTTGAAGGATACATATGAGGACGATCACGCCGTCCACCTAGTGATGGAGTTGTGTGAGGGGGGAGAGTTGTTCGATCGGATTGTTGCCAGGGGGCATTATACTGAGAGGGCTGCTGCCGTTGTGACTCGCACAATTGTTGAAGTTATTCAGGTGAAGTGTTGTTAGTTTTTTTACTGGATTTTGCTTTTTCCTGTTTTGATCTCAAGATAATGTTTTTCTTTTTAATTCTGAACTAGGTTCAATCTTGAGATATTGTATAGTTTTTCATATTAACCCCTTTCGTTTCTTGACATATTAGCTTGCACATGTAGAGGACGTCTTTTGTGGCAAAATTAGATTTCTAGAAAATTGACCAGATCACGAGGCACACAGAACACATCATTTTATTGACCAATTCTCTTTTTTCATAATGCTGCAGGTGTGCCATAAGAATGGAGTCATGCATCGTGATCTCAAACCTGAAAATTTCCTGTTTGCAAACAAGAAAGAAACCGCTGCACTAAAGGCCATTGATTTTGGACTTTCGGTGACATTTAAGCCTGGTATTGCATCTTGATTGCCATGTGCTTGTTCCATTTGGTTTATCAACCCGGAACCATATCTAATATTTATCCTTCAATTTAGACATATAATATTCTGATTTTTCCAGGGGAGACATTTAAGGAGATCGTTGGAAGTCCATACTACATGGCTCCAGAAGTACTGAAAAGAAATTATGGTCCCGAAGTGGATGTGTGGAGTGCTGGTGTCATTCTCTACATTCTACTATGTGGTGTCCCGCCATTTTGGGCAGGTCATTATATTTTACTGCTTGCGTTGATAATGAGATGAAGGGTTTTTTTGTTATTTGTTACTTTGGGTACCGGTTGGAGCTGAGGAAAAGTTTTCAGAAATCAGATGTGTTGCTTCGGTGTTCACAAACAATTTATTGCAGAAGTATGTTTTGCTCCCCGTTTTTTTCCTGATGAACTTTGTTTTTTATATTGCAGAAACCGAACGAGGAGTTGCTCAAGCAATCATCCGCTCTGTTGTGGATTTAAAAAAGGATCCTTGGCCTAAAGTCTCTGAAAATGCAAAAGATCTTGTGAGGAAGATGCTCAATCCAGACCCTAGCAAGAGGCTCACAGCTCTGCAAGTTTTGGGTAATACTCTAACTGAAAGACAATATATGCTTTGGTTTCATTTTTCTTTTGCATGATGGATTTCTTGCTTCAACATAAGCTGAGCAAATTTAGGAATTAGGCTCCCTCTATTTTCAGAAATCTTTTTCCTTGTATGCTTTCAATTTTACTCTTTGAGCCTAGGGTCTTTTGGAAACTTTCTCTCTACCATTATAGGTAAGAAAAAGGTCTGTGTACTCTCTCCCTCCGGTCTCCAGTTAAAAATAGGGCCTTATTGGAATATTGTTCTTCTTTGCAACCTTGAACTATCTTTTTTTAGGAAAACATTTTTTCACAGCAAACTTTTTGGAAAGTTATTTTCCATCAAACATTGTGTAATGTACAGAAGTATATTTCCCCACGGCAACTTGCATTCTAATCGTTGGGATGTCTGGTGCCCTCAGATCATCCTTGGCTGCAGAATGCACAGAAGGCCCCTACTGTTTCGCTGGGTGAAACAGTAATTGCAAGGCTTAAGCAATTCTCAATGATGAACAAGCTGAAGAAAAGAGCTCTTAAGGTACTTTTCTTGGCATTCGTCTTACTGTAGATTATTTTTTTTCCATGGGTTCATAGTGTTAGCTTGTGGGCTAAAAGAGTAATTATTGATAATATATTAGCCAGTCTTATATGATCACTTCATGCCGCCGTCGTCTGAAATGATGAAAAACTTCCTGCTCTTTTGCATTTTTCCCTGCCTAAAGTGATTATCAACTCATAGGTTATAGCCGAGCATTTATCTGTGGAGGAAGCTGCTGGAATAAACGAAGCATTCAAACTAATGGATTCAAACAACAAAGGGAAGATCGACATGAATGAGCTGAGAGTTGGGTTGCTAAAACTTGGCCATCAAATTACTGATTCAGATCTTCACATACTTATGGAAGCTGTAAGTACCTTTGCCATGGAACCTTTTTTTTTGAAACAAATGATAATAACTTTATATCGTACCTATGTTATTATAGCATCGAGCTTAAATGTCATTTTATACAGGGCGACGTTGATAAAGATGGGTATTTGGATTATGGGGAGTTTGTGGCAATTTCTGTCCACATTAGGAAAATGGGAACTGAAGACCACTTGAAGAAAGCATTTGAATTTTTCGACAAGAACCAGACTGGGTACATTGAGATTGAGGAACTACGCGATGCCTTAGCGAACGAGATTGATTCCAATAGCGAAGAGATAATTAATGCTATTATACAAGATGTTGATACAGATAAGGTCAGTTTCTTTTTTTTATACATTTTTAAATACAAGTCTGAACTAATTGTTATCGAGTTTCTGCTTTGTGGTGAATAAAATATGTCATCTTTGTTGTTTCAGGATGGACGCATAAGCTACGATGAGTTTGACGCAATGATGAAGGCAGGTACAGACTGGAGAAAGGCTTCACGACAATATTCACGAGAGCGGTATAACAGTCTGAGCTTGGAATTGATGAAGGATGGGTCTTTAAAGTTTACGAACGAAGATAACTGATGAAATTAAACTAGTTTGCCAAGTATATAACGTATATATACATACATAGCTAATTAAAGTCCATGGAAATATACACGAGTAGATGTGTTCGGTGATCGCCTTTTTTTTTTCTTCCATTTTTGTTGTTAATGAATCGTTCTTCTTTTTTCTGTTTTGTATTTTTGTGAGTATGTTATTTGGCTAGAGACCGTCAATATGTTTTCTGGTTTGGAGGGTTTGAAGAATGGTGCAGTTCTCTTCTTTTTAATTTGTAAATATAATACATATAGCTATTGTTGAAGCTTAAATGTACTGGCTCTCATAGATGGTGATGAATGCGGAATTATGTATCTCTTCTCACAATAGTGTGCAGAAGAATAATAAATAAAAAAAAAGTGGTGTTTTTTTAGTTCATTCCATTTGCGCCTTGGCGTTTTGAGTGAGCTAGTACACTGTACACCTCTGTCCTTGACCTTAAGTATTTATTCAATTTTTACTTTTTTCGATTAACCGTTTTCAACTTTTGACTTATAATGAAATTGAATATATATTGTATATTAATTCGATAAAATAATATTTTGAAAATATTTAATATAATAAATCTAATAAAATTATTTTTGTATCAATATCTAATATCATTTTTATTTAATTTAAGGTCAAAGTTTAGTAATCTTAACTGAAAAAAGTAAAAAATGGACAAATATTCAAGAAAAGAGGGAGTATGTGTGATTTAAAGTTCTAGAATTCTTGCACTATCATTTATTCATTCTCGAATTAATACTTCGCTACTGTGACTAAAAGCTCTTAGTTCTTCAATCTACTAATCCTTCTTTAGAGCAACAGTACAAATTAAAGATTCTTATATGCTTTATTTGAAATATTATTCCATGTGTTCGTAGTTATTCCTTCTATTCAAATCATGATGCCATATTTCTTTAATTCAATTTATTTAAATATCCGTATAAAATAATATATATATATATATATATATATATATATATATATTAAAAGTACATAAAAAATTATTTTTATAATGATAGTTCTATTGATCAAGAGATAGTTTGAATATTTTATTACAAAAAATATAATGATCGAAAGATATCGATCTTGATTTTTTTTAACAAATGATTATAGAATATAGATAATGAGAGAATATATAAGTTGACCATGTGATTACTACTTAGAAATAAAAAAGGATTTTTAGACTTACACATTGAGAGAATTTGATGAGTCAAAGTGTTTAGATGAACAGTTCCAAAAGTCAAAAGTGGACAAAGACAGTGGGACGGGGTAGTATAAATTAAAAAGGGTCTTTGATGCCGTCCTAAATCAAGGGGTATGGATGTCCTTCCATTTAAAAATTACCATGTGGACAAATGACAATAATATTTTAATAAATCTAATTAAAATTTGGAGTAAATTCCCAAAATAGTCCTTTGTAATAAGGGATTTTTCCAAATAAGTCCTCAATAAGTTTTAATTACCTACGTGGTCCTCTATAATTGAGATTTATTCCCAAAATAGTCCTTTGTAATAAAGTGTTTTCCCAAAATAGTCCTTTGTAATAAAGTGTTTTCCCAAAATAGTCCTCAATAAGTTTTAATTACCTATGTAGTCCTCTATAATTGAGATTTATTCCCAAGATGATCCTTCATAAATAATGTTACTCAAATGAGGATAAATTGAGGGTATTTTTTCTCTGCTAAATTTAGAATCAATTCTTAAAATAATCATTTATAATGAAATACTTTCCCAAAATGGTTTTTCTAATTAAAGATGTGTATTTGATTTGAAATTAAATTTTTTTAAGTTTTATAAATGTATTTGGTTTATCTCTATGTAATAAGATGTTTTCCCAAACCAGTCCTCAAAAAAGGATTAATTGGGAGAAATTTTGGTATTTTGATCATCCAAATTTAAAGTATATTCTCGAAACAATCATTTCTGTACAACTAAATGTAAAATTTTTAAAATATATTGACTATAAATAATTTATGAATTATTTAAAACTTAAAAAAATTTAAATTTCAAATCAAATATACATCTTTAATTAGAAAAACCATTTTGAGAAAGCACTTCGATCATTATAAATGATTATTTTAAGATTTAATTCTAAATTTAGCGGATAAAAATACCCTCAATTAATCCTCATTTGAGTAATATTATTTACGAAGGACCATCTTGGGAATAAATCTCAATTATAGAGGACCACGTAGATAATTAAAACTTATTGAGGACTGATTTAGAAAAATACCTTATTACAAAGGACTATTTTAGGAATAAATCTCAATTATAGAGGACCACGTAGGTAATTAAAACTTATTGAAGACTAATTTGGGAAAACCCCTTATTACAAAGGACTATTTTGAGAATTTACTCTAAAATTTGCTATGTGGACAAATGATAAAGTGACCCTCTAAATCATACTCCGTGTACATATCTTGACCTACCATCCATTATTATTAATTTAGTTTCTTTTTTTAATACTCTTAGTTCATTCGTTTTTTTCAATGTGAGCAGTCCTAAGCACATACTACATAATTTTTTTCTTTGCATTTTCAAATTTATCCCCCCAAATTTGGTTTACTATAGTGACCTTTTTCTTAGAGGCTAATTTTACCATAGCTTTTACTGAAGTTCATTTCACTCCTCTTCGCCTTATTTAACGGATTTTGAATTTAAAATTTGGATTAAATATGTTTTGGTCCATGGAAAATAAGTGACTTTTGTTTTTAGTTCTATTAAATATTGTTTTTTAAGTCTTCCTTACAAAAAATTTATTTTTAAAATGGTCCTTAAAAATAATTTTCACTTCTAATTTATTAAGATAACACATTTATTTTGCACTAAATATCTTAGTCTTGCATTTCTACTATCTCCAATACAATTTGGATGCTCTAAGTTCTATCCTTATTTCTATTCCATGAGACTTGTGTATGAGGTAATTAGAAATATAAAATGAAGATGTTGAGTATGAAATACTGGAGTAAATGGGATATCTTGACAAATTAGAAATATAAATTATACATAAGGATGACTTAACAAATTTGTTTTACAGAGACTAAAAATATATTTAACCCTAAAATTTTTCAAAATCTTTTTTTACAGAGACTAAGAATATATTTAACCCTAAAATTTTTATTATTATGTTCTAAAATTAAAATTGAAATTTTAATTGAATTTTTAATTTTTAAAAAATACTGTATTATAATAGTAATAATAATAATAATAATAGTTGTGTTTAATTATATTGAAAACTAAAATAAAAAATTGTTTTGTACATATACTTATTTTAACATTATCTCATATGTATTTATTTTACAAAACAACTAGTTTTTTGACTCGTGCCACGCACGGGGTCAAACAATATTTTTGTCAATTTTAAAAAAATTTTCATTGCAATATATTTTCTAGAATAAAAAACATTTATAGTAGGAGTTTTAGTAAGATAAACACGAACACTAATGTAAAATAAATATTCGAATAATTGAGGGTCTACTTAACTAAGTGTTTTTTATTTCCTAATTTTTTTGAAAGACTTCAAGCTATACTACTTGTGTGTTATTGTCATCTATAAATAATATTTTTAATCATGTATTTATTGAGAAACAACGTAAAGCTGATCATGACTTTGGTAGGTGGTATCATTTTTATAAGATATTTTTTATCAATCCCAATTTTAAATTAAAATTTAGGTATTACCTTATCCTGAAATATTCATCCAGTCTGTCTTTTTTGTAGTCACAATGGAAAAAATTTGATGGAGTATAAAAGAAAGATTACATTATATATTGGAAAAAATTTATTTGTTAAATTTTTTTTATATCTTTCTTTAACGTGGTGGTATAAATTTACTTAGAAATAGGCTACAATTTCCTTCCCTTCAAGTGGGATCATAATTTTTATACAAAATTTGTGCCCACAAACATGACTTCAAATTTTTAATACTATAGTTTCTGTTATTTATTCATATTCTCTTTATTATTTTTATATATGTAGGTACGATCCATCACAGAAAAATTTATAAACAAAAGCTATATTATATAGAATAATAGTTATAGAACGTAATATACAACAAAAGACCATTTTACTGAAATTTATTGAATTTTAAACTTATCATTGACCAATACATTTGAACCTAGACATATATTTAAGCTTTTAGGCTAAACCGCTAAACCAAATAAAAGTATTTGTAGATAAACCCATAAAATCATCTATTACTATCCACTCTTACATGGTGTAGTCTTATCATCTACTACTACCCACTCTTACATGGTGTAAGTCAAACTGTAAAACAAAACTCTTCAATAAATCAAGTATAATACTCTAAACTCGACACTTTTTCCTATGTTTCTGTGTGAAGGAAGATAAACAAACTTGATTTTTTAAAACAACATACTTGAATTAACACATGAATAAGAAATGCTCGAATTGAGGAAGAATGCAAAGAGAGATTCTAAAATTGCATATGAGTTTATGGAGCAAACTATATGTAGCAAATTCTATATATTAAGGAACAATACGAAGAGAATATGCACAATTAAATTGGGATGAATAACAATTAAATATGAAATTCAAAACATACCTCTTGAATCTAATTATAAATCTTAATCTTTATTTATAGGGAGAATATTACTAACTATGTGATGCTAATTCCCGAAAAAATCCTTAACATATTTGAACCGTAAATTCACATAGCCCTTTACTTTGAAAAAATGGGATTTGAAACCTAATTTTTTAAATTTTAAATGGTCCCCAATTTTTCAGAGTATGAAATAAGGTGAATCAAATTGAAATATAAAGTTTGCAAGGAATTCTTTGGGAAATATACTAAAAACAACAAAAATTTAATAAAAAAATAAATTTGAAATTTGGAAACAAAGCTAAAAAAAGAGTAAATCTTTCACCACACATGTTTTTCAAATACAAAAAACAAATACCAACACATGTTTTTGGCCTTATTTTTTAGACTAAACCAACACATCAATTACTCATTCATGGATAAAATGTAAATTATTAATATCCAAGAGTCAATACAATGTACATACACGAAGTAAAACATACGATGCATCGGGGCATATCCCTATAAAATAAAAAAGAATTGCACACACGCCAAGGCACGCACGCCCAATCAACAAAACATGAGTACACAAGCACAAAAGAAAAGTACATCAGACGGAAGATGATCCGCACCATCAACAGGCTTGTCCTCCTCATCCTGGATCGTCATCATCAAAGGATCATCAAAAGGAAGGTCATTCCACATCAAAACTCCGAAGGTGAGGTACCAAGGGGTCATTTGCGTCATTGTTGCCACTACAATGAAAAGTCCTCAACACGTGTAGGATCATCAAGTTCACCCTCAAGAAATAGATGCCATGACCCAAGTCCACGAGTTCACCATAGACCAAAGTGCTAGAGTAAACTCAGCCGAACCTGAACACAGACGGAAATAGAAAATGGCTCATGCAAACTCAAGTGGACCAGGCCCGAAGTCATAAAACATGAGAGAAGCACCCAGTCCGGCATCATTAGTCACACAAAGGGGTTACGGTTTCCAAGAAGTCTCAACTTTCACACACTCGGGGGTCCATCGTACCCTTCCCTTGACGGTGTTGAACACTGAAGCCTCGGGCTCACAGTGGCTTCCCAACAAAAATGTTAGGGATGCAGCGAGAAATACAACTGGTAATCCCACCCAAAGGTGTTCAACAACTCCCAACTGAGGAAGAAGAGGCACGGTTGGTTCAAGGCTCCAGTGACTTTAGGCAGCCCCAAACCAGTAGCACAGCGGCCTTTTCCACCCAGAGACGTCCTCAATAGACCCATGAATCAGCACTACAAACACCAAGTAGTATGGCTGCCCAAGAGCTGCCTAAAATGCCAAGTATGAATACCAAACAAAGACATGAGGGACCTGGGCAGTGGTAGACCAAACCAAGGCAGAAGAAGATCATCCAATGCAAAAGGGAGAAGGTTGGCCTGCCAGCAACCTATGCGTGCCATCCCCATCCCTCAAGAACTTGAGTTCAGCGAGCAAACATCAAACCCACAGGAGGGTCTGTTGTTTGAAGATGGCAGCCCGGAAATCAAAAATTTCCAAACCCAATCATGGTCCAGCCCCCATTCAAGTACAGTTCACCTTACAACAAACAAAAACAGACCCAAAAGCCAATCAAACCACACCAGGCAGCAGCCTCTGGAGAGTCTCTGGCAAAAGGTTAATTTCAAATATTAAATATAGTTGTAAACATGATACAATTAAAAATTAAGATTGGGGCACAACCACAGCTGAATTAGCACATATATAAACATGGAGGTATAATAGGAATCAGTCATTAATTAAATAGCGATACACAGAATTAATGATGAAGGTATAAACATGGAAAAATCTACATAGATATATGCACACATAGATGAGGGTATAAACATGAAAAAATCTGTACACATTAATTTAAGAGATCATGTTAAGACCTAAAATATGTTGGCTTCATATAATGATTCAAAGTTTCAGAAAGAAGGATAGATCAAAGTTTCATATAATCCAGGCTTCATATAATGATTCAAAGTTTCAGAAAGTAAATGCTTAAAGTGGTCCAAATGTAGAAAAAAAGGTCCATCCAGGGCCCGAACTTGTGTAATCCCTAATTCAGAGAAACAATTAAGGGAAATTAAGACCTAATCTTTAATCCGGTTTCCATTTCTGGAAATCATCCGAGTCCCTTGATAGAGTGTGGCAGGGAGCTAACACCATGCCAAAATGTAAATACAATGAAGATTAAAATTAAGAAGAGAAAAAGAATGTATACTTTCTCAATTTAGCATATGCCTCAGCCTTCTTTAAAGGATACCTAGAATTATAAAAAGCAATTAAGCAATCGCATATCGGCCAGCAACAACCAAAACAAATTACAAAATTAGCAAAAAGACTTTAGTGTGTGAAGCCAGGTATGCTGCATTTTAAAGTATACCTGGACAGAGATTATTGTTGATGGCTTTTTTATAAGCATAACTTCACCTCGTTTTTTATTGATGGCTTCTTCTACATTATATTTAGGACTCCTGCAAGTTCTCCCATCTGTCGTATTTTTCTCCCAAGCTTAGTTTCAACATAATTCTTATTTATGCTGCAAGTAAAAGCAAGACACCTGTTAAGTACGGAGTATTTTTAATGATCTAGAGCACCTTCTAAAACATGTAGAGTCATACTTTAGGGACTAATTTTTCACCTCTTTGGGCATTTTTGTTACAAAAACAAACACCCTGGAAAAATTAAAAACAAAAAGAACCTTTGATCATATATGTAATGTAAGGATAGCCAAATTGAATATACTATAAAAAGTAAAATAGAGAACTTCTACCTCAAATGATTTCATGCTTCGAGGAAGGGTATTCTACAACATTCTGCAAACTTCAAAGCTTGATGAATTAGGAAAGTATTTTAAATTTATTTAACATATAAACTAACACTTTTATATAATAATTTATAGAGCCAACAAGAACTTAATACTTCGTAGTACTCTAAGTTGAAAAATGTTTAAAGACTTAAAGACAAACATTCATGAACTTTTTTTCTATCACAACATATACATGAAATCAATTTAGCAAAATTCACACTCTGTAGATTTCTATTCATAGAGGTATAAAATCTAAAATATATTTTCTAAGATTAAGCAAAACCTTGGGCTGAAATTGGAACCTTAAATCATACTTTGTAAATAATTGATGAAATTGTCTTAGGATGATATTCAAATGAAGTAGAGAATCTTACTATGAATACAATGCAAGTGGGAAACAAATTTGCTGGCTGCAGCGGGGTCAGAATTTCATGGATGGCGGTAGAATCTGTAATGCATCCAACAACGGAGAAGGATTGCACCAGTACTTGTAAAGGTTCCGCGAGAAAACATTTAGCGGCTAGGCCTTCATCACGGCCCTTGGTTTCACCGCTGGTTTGGCTCCAAGTGATCGCTCCTTTGTCGTTATCCTCCGTTCCTCATCGATCACTTCTACTATGTCCTAGTTCTGTCTCTATCCTCTTTAAATTTGCTAGTCTTCTCGGTTTAATCTCCATGTCTCCTCTTCTCAAAATTCTACATCACTAATTTGTAGATCTTTGTCCATTTAACCAATAACCTGGACGGAGAAGAAAATTGAAGTATTGAACTTTGAACATGGTGGCGTGGTACGATGTGGCATCAGAGGTTTTTGCCAATCGTTTACAACCATAATAGTTGTTTGAAGAAAGAAGATAAAAAGGAAGTTCAAAGTTCAATACTTCAATTTCTAAACGGATCAACTCAGGGCAATTATTTTGTGTGTGATGATGCAGGAGGATCAGCCATAGGACACACCACCAGAATCATAGAAGGCTAAAAACAATCATCCAGCTAACTTCACAATGCAAACAGGGAGATAAATGCCAAAGTAATACAATAAAAACATAAAGTAAAAGAGCAAAAATGTCTAGTCCCTTTGAAAATCATGTAGAGATAAGCCTGAATGCCTCTCCAAAAAAACTAAACTTTCCAAATAGCCAAACTGATCAAGATGACTCAAATATTTCCATAAAATAGATCACCCTTGTATTCATAAGCTGCCAACCCATAATGAGAGCAAATAAACCATGTCCATTCCATAAAAGCAAGGGTAAAATAAACCTTAATTAGAAGAAAATTAAACTCAATGAAATCGAAAGTGTTGAGAAACATCACCTTCAAATAATAGAACACCCTACGGATTACAATAGAAAAGAAAACATACCAATCACATCTCTTCCTAATATTTCTATTATGCCAATTTATGTCTTTTCTTTTTATAAAAGTAACTAATCAATAAGTAACCTTCAAAAACACTCATGTCTATTTTTCAAATTTAGACAGAAAAACTCATCTTTGCATGATATTTTCCACATATAAAATGCTTTTTTCATTAATGAGATAATTTTACAGAGAATATACATAGTTTATGAAGAATATGATTTCAAATCAAATTCAACAGAGAATATATGCTGGATTATTGCATATGTGAACTTTTCAATAACAATTAATCTTCTCTATAACACTATACTCGCATAAAATAATCAAAATTCCAAAAAACAAATTACTGGATTGCACGTTCTGAATCAATTATTAGTGGAACCCCAAATTATAATATGAGCATCAAAATTGAAGGGAAAATTACCTGGAGCAGCGTCCGTCCAACCTTGGCCGTTGCCGTTCATCCGCCTTCATTCAATAAGAAGAAAGAATATTGCTATTAATCTAATATAAATTAGGTATACGATTTCTCCAATGTAACTAAAATTAGGGTCAAATAACTAAAATTAAATCTAATATGCTATATTTATGATTTTTGTATTTTTTATGTAACATTTTAAATCCAAATTATTTGATCAATTGGAAATTTAGAATGAGTCAATATCAATATTAAAGGACCATCAATTTTTTTAAAGGAAATGTAAGCCCTAAACTTACTACTCCCTCCGTCCTAACACTTTCTTCCACTATTCTAATCTCACGAGAATTTATATTTATTTGTATTTTTTCATGGCCTATATGATAAAATAAAATATTCTTGTCACCACTTGTTTTGTTGAACTTTTGATGTTGTTTTTAAATATTTATATTTTATTTTTTATTTCTATACCAATATTTAAATAAAATAAATTAAAAAAATTTGGGATTTTTCTTCGTTTTGCCCAACGGAAAGAAAGATATTATAGGACAGATGGAGTAATAAACATTGCAGCCCCCAGTAAATGCAGTTGCTTAGCTTGCAATTTCCAATGTCAAATCCAAACCATTCGATCAAACCAATATTCAAGATCAATGGTGTGCGTGTCTCTAACAATGGGCAGGAAACGACTTGACCATGTTTCCCCTCTTTTTAAATAAGTACTCCGTATATAGATATATATAGATGATATTAGGGCCCATTATAATAGTGCAATGAGGTTTTTTAGAAAATCCTTAATAATATATACTTTATCCATCCCATTTGGAAATTTATTGAGTGGCTTACGATATTTGAATGATGATATTTTTTAATTTAATTCATATGAAAATTGTATAAATTTAAAAATGAAATTTTTATTTAAAATTTTTTAGATGAAAATATGTTAAGAAATAAAAAAAGATTTGAATGGAAAAATAATAGCACTAAAAATCAAATGAGAGTAATATGATACGGAGTATAATATAAAAAGAACACTTACGATGCTCCATGGGTAAAATTGATGATTCCTATTCCGCATAATCCCTTCTTAAACCCCCGGCCCCACCCCAACACCCCCACCCCTAGGGAAGAAAAAATGGAGAGGGAGGGTTGGAAGATTTTGTAAAAGGAAAAGGAAGTTGGAATCAAGAAAAAAAGGGGAGGTCAAAATCATAAAATTTAAATTTTAAAATTATTATAAATCGGCCTAAGTGACCCGATGGTGACTTGAAAACTGTGTAATGGACCATCCACATAAGAATAGACCTAGCAATCGGGTCAATCATATCGGTTCGTGTCGGTTTGGTTCATGTTAGTTTGATTTTGGGTTAAATTCAGTTTGATTTTTTCTAGTTTTGGTTCGAGTTCAGTTCGAGTTTATATCGATTTGAGTTTATACCGGTTTGAGTTTGTATCGATTCGGGTTATATCGATTTGAGTTTATACCAATTTCAGATGAGATCCCTTGGTATTAGAGTTCCTAATGTTAGCATTGTGTATAGCCTCTCCTCTCTATGTATAAAGAGAGTATATATACAAGTGCCATAAATAATGATCGAGCTAGTATATCCATGTGTTACAATGTCACTATGAATTATATAAACACTCTATAAAATAGACAACAACTTTAAATTAGTTTAGGTGATAAAATACAAAGTAAAAGATTTGTACATTAAATCAGTTGTACCTATAATTCAAATATGTTTTTCATAGAAAAACATTAACCAATGAGCTATTAGGTTTGCCTGGGTTTGAGTTTAATTTCCTTTGAACTTGATCACGATCGCGTCTAGTCGGTTTTGAGGATCTAATCGGTTTCAGGTCCAGTCAATTTCGGGCCTAATCGGTTTCGAATTGAATCGGTTCGGGTCTAACTCGTAGGGGTGGGCGTGAAATCCGTTCCTGTTGGACCACTCCGAAAAATCCTAGATCTGTTTTGTAATTGTTCCGAATAATTGGGACACCCTTTTTTTTATCCCGAACCCGTTCCGTCCCAATATCAAATGGGACATGAGCGGACAACTTAAATTTATATCGATCCATCCCATTTGTCCTGCTTCATCCACTCTACTAATATATAATACTAATTCTAGTCTAAAATCCAAATACACTTATTCTTTAATTAATTAATTAACTTCATAGGCTTGGGGTTTCATCCAAAAGTTTATTAAATTTATTTGGTCCCGTTTCACTTATTGTTTTTTTGTTGGATGGCTAGGTGTTTCTCTTTTTTTTGAATGAAATGTCACCCTCCCCCCTTATTATATTTGCGATTAGGACAAAGTAGGACGACCCGAATCTGTCCCAGTTTATTCCGATCCCGAATTTTGTGGGACAAACCGGGATAAGATTGTAATCCGAACCGTTCCAGACCGTTTATATATAACGAGACAAGACGTGGGACAACTTAAAATTCAGACCGTCCCGATCCGTGCCCACCCCCTACTAACTGG